AAGCGCGCGTGTGATTGGAAATAAAAAAATATTATTATTAAAGATTATGTTCTGCCTGTCACTAATACCGTTGATCCCGTAAGCGTTTCGCACTTGCAATGACACGGTGATAATTCAAATGTACATTACCTGTGGTCGTAACCCGTTGCCAAATATGAGCCGTACTTGGTGTTTCGTATCGCTGGCCGACGGTGGCGTCGCAAGAATGTATCTGCACATCTCACCGATATAATGTGCTACCTATAAACATAGATTTTTGCATATTATGTTCAGCGGATTTATTGTCAGTAATTTAATAATTAAAAAGGACTTTACAGTAAAACTATTTTCTTAACATGTCTCGACTGTCGTCGGATTTCTATCAGTTACCCTTTGCACTGGTGCAGACCGGATGCACTTACTCTACTTGGAAATATATGGAGTGGCAACTTTTCCTTATTTAATTTATATTTTTATTAACTGGCTTGGTACATTGGAGTGAATGTTATTATGTAAAGGGAAATAGTTTTACAGCTCTATATCGTTCAAAAAAACCTTTTGTTTGAAATCAAAACAACACTTTAGTGAGAGGGTACCTTAATAGTGGTCCCATTTAAATGTGAAGAAAATATTCCACCTAGGGATGGCAATCTAGGGGATGAATGACTTTTGAGGTCGGTTTCTCTTATATACATATCGAAGGTTAAGTCCGCCTCGTTATATTTCGTCCCTTTACGATTGCGAACAATTTCAAAATGACATACCGTAGCCTTATACTTGATGCAATCTGGAAAGAACTGCGATGCGGAGAACTTGGACTTTATAATGACTGAGCAGCCAAACAATAAAGCTTGGCCGACGCTGATGACGCCCCCCGCAGTGTGGTATAGTGGTAGGGGACAGTATATTACATCCCTTTTGTTCATACGCCAGACGTGAACTCCCGCTGTCATAAATGTGACCCTGGGGACGAGATAGAGAATAATATTATGTTCACATCTATTAGGGTACATTCTCCTTGCATCATAACGTGAAGCTAAATATTAGAATAGTATCATGTGCATTCATTAATTATCAATAATTATAATCAGTGACAGCTGGGATTTACCGGTTTTTGGGCTAATAATATTCCGGTTTTAGAGACCTTTGAAGTGTATGGTGGAAGTGTGAGTAGGTGGATCAGATTATTTTGGTTACAATGATAAATCGTGTTTTCTAGGTCGCGCGGATTCAAGTTAATGTAGTGGTTAGATAGCTTTAGTAATGGAGAGCAGACGTACGATGAACTCAGCTGAGTGTATAATTGAGGCAAGGTCATCATGTTAAATACACAAATCTAAATTTTTTCACAACCTATTAGCTCGTGTATGGAACGAAAGTTCCATAAAGCCACGGAGCGATTCATGTATGCTTGACTTCAAACTTACAGACCGAGTTTGAAATTACGAAATCCGAAGACGAACTAAGATCCAGGACTTAGGAGATCGGATAACGAACTTAAGATGGAGCTGGACAGGCCATATTTCGAGGCGTGACGGAGACAGACGACGTAAATCTAAAACCGAAAGGTGTCCAAGAAATGGTTATAGAAACGTGAAACGTAAAAAAAAGCATAGTAGTAGCAGTAGAGCTCCTCGCCAACGAGCTCGTCCAGAGAAGTACTGCCACCTTACCAAGCCAAGCAGTAATGTGAGCATTACTGCGTTCCGGTTTTGAGAATTGTCAACTTTTGCCTCAGGGTGACAAACGCAGTGGCAGTGACCCTCAAATCTTTACGTTTTAAAGCTCTGAGTGACACTACAACTGCTATGAAAAGGCGTGTCGCTAAACACCAGGACCACGACTTATTCGTCCGTCACTTGGTATCATAAAAAAATTGCATCCCAACCGTTGTTGCTAACAGGTATTGGGATAAAATCAATTATTTCGATGTTATCAATATTACACTATTACAATTTAAAATTTAACGTCAAGGGATAATAATATATGTTTGTCACTAACATAAACAATAACAATGAATATAAAACATAATAATATTATATGTAATAAAGTGAACGAGCGCTACTATATTATACTTTTGTTTTAATGACGTTTTAAAATACATTGAAACGTTATAGTTTTGGAATTTGAATTAATGTTCGCCCATAATTAGTTAATGTTTATTAAATGTTTTGAATTGGCTTTTTTGTAAGAACGTCGTAAGTGTTAACGATTTGAATACAATAACGGGTGTGTAATGGAAGATATAACAACAAATAATCTATGTTGACTTGGTATAGTAACATTTGATATAATTTCTGATCACTCACTGTATATAAACAACAAAAGGTATAACAACAAAAGGCATAATTTCGATGTGTATAATGAACCTTCAGTATAACAAACATTAGATATAACGATTAAGTGACATAATTAACAAATGGTATAAGTACTACCAGTATAATGTAATAAATAACATAACACAATATTTCGTTTTACGAATAGTTGAAGCGCCCTATATTATCTTGATAAGATTTTTTATTCCATTAAATGTACAATCGCCAAAATATAATTGTTTTTGTATAAATTTAAGTAGGTACTTTTTGTGTTATAAAATATATTTACTAAAACTTTAAGCAGAATGTTTAATTGCATGTAACTAGCAAATGCAAACAAATTCGATTCTGACAGCTTTGTCATATACTAACCTAACTTAAACCCACAGGAGGAGGTCGAACCAACTAGGAAATGTATACAAATTCGGTTCATTCACCATTGCACCTAAACACCACTGGAATTATATTCATTTTTTTTTTCACACATACACATTCAACATTATACTCAGTGATATTATAAAAAAAATATCTGAAGTGTTTATATAAAATGAACATTATGCCATCGGTATATTAGATTGAAAGTTGTTATATGAATCGTCTATTATACCCAGTGACCTTTATATCATGCAAGAAAATGTCAAATGTCTGTTTACCATAAATTAATTATATCTGTTGAGCGTTATATCGACTAAAAATATGTCGTTTGTTGTTATATATTACGAATCGTACCCTACAATCACCTAGTACGAATTCCATAAAGTCACTTGTCACTTGTCAAAATTGTTATGTTTTAGTCTAATCATACATACTGTTATGTATAATTAATGCTGTGCATTAAAATCACACCAATTTTTGGTTTCAAGCCAAAGAATTCCCTGTACTACGTGTACCAGAGCAACTTTACTCTCTATTGGCCAAAATAATAAAATAACATAAACAAAATGTACAGTAGTACATTTTGTTCGTAAAATACACACGGTTAATAACAATTTATTCATCCTCATATAACGCAAACTTCCTGGTCAAAGTACAAAGGCATAGATACAATAGCTATAATTATGTATATTGAGCTGTGTCAGTATCTTTAAAAATATATTGTTCCATTAACTTTATAAACTTTAGAAGAAGCGAAAGTGGGTCCGCGGTTTTATCAACCGTAAATATGTGTATTATTTATCATCCAATTTCTTTTTTTTATTGTTTAACCCCTGACGCGTAAACATAGTCATGAGTTTGAAACCTTTTGTATTTGTTTGTGTTAATCAGGATGGCTTGTAGTTGTTTGGTGGACATATGTGGGTTTGCTAATTTTAAATCACCTCAGTTGAGTGTCGATAGTGTCAATGGCAGGATTTTGCACGTTTGGTATTCTGCTAATAATTTAAAGAGTCGTGGCTAACCCTCGAGCTGTTACCGTTACGCGAAACCGGATTCACCCCCTAGTTTGCCACCCTTAGAGGTGGAATGCTTTCTTCAGATTTAAATGGGACCGTTACTAACGTACCTTCTTTTCAACAAAAAAAAAAAGAATCATCAAAATCGGTTCACAAATGAGTTATAACGAGTGAGTTATATAAAATACATTTAATTTGAAGACTAAATTGCTGATTAAACGAAGTGAAAATTAAGATATGCACATTTCCAAAGTAGTTTATTAAGGCAACATCGCTCGTCAGAGATTGAACGGATGAATGAACGCCATCACCGTCATTCCACTCTATTGAGACTCAACTGCCATTGCATTTTATCTAGAAATGGGTAATATATCTTTTTCTGAATATCGTATCGAAACTATATATCAATATTCGAAATCGGATTTCGAAACTATATATTTTCTGAAACTATATACCTATTCATGGAAACAGCCCGCGTGCGCGCTGCGTTGATAAATTGCCGTTACTGATATTGGATATAGTTTTACAAGAGCAATGTTATTGCAATTGGCCCCAATGTTAGTATACAGTTTCGAAGACGCACAAAAAAGGGTTTCGCGTTGATAACCACTCAGTGAATATGGGACACAAAGCAATATTGGTACATAGTTTGGAAAATATATGATTTCGTGTTAGTATCCACTCGGTAATCGCTCGGCTTGATTCGGCATCGCTATAAAATACGCGATGCGGAGCAATATCGATATAGTTTCTAAGATACACGATATCGGATATTCGATATTGCCACAATATACGAGTATAGTTTCAATAACTTTTGTAACGCCCATTCCTAATTTTATTTTATTGCAATATAATATCAGTGGAGTCTCAATGGAACTACAAATAATCAGTAATTTCAAAACAAATATCAGATTTATGGCACGGGTGTAACCCACCCACGGGTCTCTTTAAAGAAAAAAATAATTATCACATTATACAACTCTCAGGGTTGTATTCTAGAACTATACTCAATGCTCAAGTCAGGATTTGAGTATGGTTTAAAGCACTCGAAATCATACTCAAATCCTTGCCATTAGGGTCGTATTTCCAGTGCTTCAAATCATACTCAAGTCTGCTCAAATCCTGACTTGAGTATTGAGTAGAGTTCTGGAATACGACACTCAGTAGTAATTAAAATAATGAACTTGATAGGCATGATAGCATTATGAACAGTTATATGGTATAGAAACAAAATTATACAGATCTAATGACTTAAGACATTTTGAAGTCGGCAACCGCAAATTATGTGAAATGACAAGTGAAAGTACCTACCTTGCATTAGAAATAACCGCTGCTTTTGGTAGCCCCGTAGTACCAGACGTGTAGATATACAATAACTTTCCAGAGAAACCTTCTGCATCGGCTAATTGCCATGGCCCTGGTGGGGTGTATTCTAGTAAACTCGTGAAGTCAGTAAAAGGAGATTCATCTTGCTTTGTCACTATTTTCGAATTTAGTTGACGATGTGAGAATTTGTATAGCTTCAGCCTAGGGCTTAACTCAGATTGTATAGCTTTGATAGCTGTAATAAAATTGTGGATTGTAAATTAGTGATGCGCAAATGAAGCGTAACGTTATTGTGCTATTAAACAAACCGCTAGGTATTATCGACGTCGAACGCAAGATACAAAATGTAGCTATATTGTAATATTTGGACTATTAAAGGACTGTTTAAACTAGTAAAAATTCCACGCTGAACGGGTTTTGGGAAATGAAATAGTGCTTTATTTCTCAATCACAAAACAGGCTAAGAGTAGTAGCCTCAAGGTTAATACAAAACAAAGATTGATCAAACTGTTTTGTGAGAGACTGATATCCGAGATAGGTTTAATATGGTTTAATATTGTGGGTCACTTAGATTAATGCTAAACTTAGGTCTTTTCAATGCGAGAGGGAATACCTAGGCATAATTTAGGTGTGCATGACCGATCGTCGATATGATGATGTGTCACTTTCCATCAGGTGAAATGGAGGACAAATGCGCATTTATTATAAATTATCTAATAAAAAAAAACAAATCTATTTACAACTAGGCATTGACCTATAACAACTAGGTGTTTTTTTCTTAGTCTTAACTACCCGTTTTACCTGCTTTTTACCGCCCTCCGAAAATATTGGTGACACTCACCCAGATTTTACTTATAGTTAGATAATTAAATATAATTGAAACACAAAAAGCAGATGATGCTAAACAAACTTGAAGAATTCTTAACAACTTGCATTATATTTAATCCCTGGTGAAAATAAATAATCTCACCTGGTTCAAACTCTTCAGAAAATATCAAAACATCGCAAGAAGCAATGGTAATAGAATGCAATAGCGCACTTCCTCTTTGATTGGTGTTTATAAGTGGAGTGATGGCTCCCAGGCGAGCGTTACCCAACCACAACGCAGGAAACTGAGGGCAGTTGGAGACCAGCATACCAACTACCTGGCCCTTTCGTATTTCCAGGGCTCTCAACACCGATGTCACACGAAGGCTGTAATCTTCCACCTAAAATAAAAATTGATAGACATTTTAGAGTAACACTAACACGCATCTGTTGCCTTATTCTGTATCTTAATGATTATGGTGTTGATTTTCTGTTCTTTATCATATTATAAAAAGGAGGTCAAACCAAATGTCAGGTAGTAAAAATGGGTTTACAAATGAACAAAAATATTTTGAACCTGTTTTTGATAAGTTATCTGTTTTCATTACTACAATTATCATCTGAAATATAGTCGCATATTTCTGCTGTGTATGTATAAAGAAAACACACCTTAAGGGAACAAAAAACACACTTTAAGGGAACAAAAACATTTTAAAAATCTTGTCATCACTTGGTTATAATAGTATCCTTGTGTAATGTTTGTAAATGCAAATTGATGCCAATTGTACCTAATCCCAGTACATTAAGTCATGCCTACATTTACATTGAATGACCCAAACAAATCATTTTAACAGTTTTTAAATTTGAACAAAATTTCACACACCTTATATGAGCATGATAGCTATCACGTAGTTTAAAAGTAGACAACAATATTTGATTAACTTTCATTTAGAAATGGGATTATTTTTTCAATCTAAATTAAGTGTGTATGTTTTTTCAAACAAACCAATTTTTTGAGTTCCTCACATGTCCCGTGGCAACAGCAAACAGCTAAGGATTTCATCAAGCTATATACATAATCATCACCCAAGACCTAGATTTCCTCTCCTATTGAGTGGCTGGCACACTAGTTTTCATGGTGTTGCCATCTCTGTCCCAAGTTCGAACCCCAGCTGGATCAATGTAGAAACTAACTTTTCTATATTGTCTTGGGTCTGGGTGTTTGTGGTACTGTTATTGTTTCCTATGTATGTTTTAGTTACAAGTGTTTTAGTTACTTACTTTGGGATCAGACAGAGCAACATATGTGATGTTGCCTAATATTAAATATTAACATGCCTCTAAAACTGAACTTCGACACACGCGACTCCGGCAACATATTACATCGACATGATTTTACTCAGACATTACATTACTCCGACAATAGGTTACTTCGACAAGATTTTACTCAGACAGCTACATCGACCAAACAGATGAGGTGTTTATTAAAAAATATCTTTGTACTCTGATAAGAAAAATCATCATTACAAACCCACCTAGGAAATGGTTTCTTATTATATATCGATCAATATAACAAAATAATACAAAATCATATAATCGAAAAATTCTTTTATTAGTTATATAAAGTGTAACAAAAAACTATTATATTAAAATATAAATTTTTACTACCCTATTTCATGTATGTACAAAAACTTAATTACAGTAAACAGAAAAAACATAAATTATTATTTTCAGAACGGAAGAAAATTTGAAACTGCTTTTCAAAGCACAATTTTGGATAATGGATTGGACTTTTGAAATAGTATATTTTATTTTATTTTAATAATCTTTTTTGTTTCACTTTATTTTACAGAGTGTTTTTTTAATGGGACAATTGGGGAAATCTACAAGCATAGAAAATACAAGAAAACCGTCTGGTTTTCGTCAGAACCATAAAGTTTTTATCGAGTTCTTAGGTTTTCGCGATTGTTATACATAGGAATGAAACTATTTTTCCGGATTTAAATCGCGTATATTTGTTTTTTCAAACAAACCGACGTTTCGGGCCCTTTACAGGTCCCATGGTCACGGTCACAGTCAACCGTGACGGCGCGATAGTATGGTGGCCACGAACCAAGCTGACGACCGCAACCGACAAACTGGAAAAATTCCAAAGACTAGCTTGCATGGCAACGACCGGCTGCATGAGGACAACTCCGACTGCGGCCCTCGAAGCGATGCTGGACTTGCGACCCCTCCCAATGTTCATTAGACAGGAAGCGGCGTCAACAGCAGTGCGTCTTAACAGAGCCGGCCTTTGGAAGCACATGAGGACCCCACATACAGAAATCCTTTATAAGACAGTCAATGAGGAACCGCTACTGGAGGCGGCTGTGGATAGGATCCCAAAACAATACATCTTCGACAAAAAATACAAGATACAATTGTTTGAAGATCCAAATGAAGGACTGAACCCCAAAGAGGTCCGCGTCTTCACCGATGGATCTAAAACAAATTCAGGAACAGGTACTGGGGTATTCTCAGAAGACCTCAATATCAGGATATCAACACCGCTTGGTGACCACAACACAGTATTCCAGGCTGAATGCATGGGCATCAAGTTGGCGGCAGAAGCAATCATAGCGAGAAGAGTAAAGAACCACTCCATTCGAATACTCTCTGATAGTATGTCAGTACTTCAAGCACTGAACAGCTATGACATAAACTCAGGGCTCATTTATGAATGCCATCAAGCACTCATGGAGGTATGTATACAAAACCACTTAACTCTACAGTGGATTAAAGGACACAGCGGCTCACGGGGCAATGACGCAGCAGATGAACTAGCCAGAAAAGGGTCGGAGACGGACGCAGTAGGACCAGAACCCATAGTGTCCCTCCCCTACCAATGGTCCAGAACAACTATACACAAAGGTACAAAAACTTCACATAATAATACATGGACCACCCTTACGGTTTGTAGACGAGAGAAGCACTCCCAACGCTCAATGCCAGTCTATCACGAATATTAATTAAACTCAACAGGCAAGGGCTTCGCACTCTAACTGCCGCCCTAACAGGTCATGGTCCATACAATAAACACCTTTTCAATTTAGGTATCACAGACAGCCCTCTATGCAGAGCGTGCATGGAGGGGGAGGAAACGGCTGCGCACATCCTACTACAGTGCTCCGGCGTGGCCAACTACAGGGCAAAGTACCTTGGAGTGCCAAGGTCGCTCCCCGAAGTCTTCAGCAAACCGAGGAGGCTGCTGAGATTCCTGGAGGAGCTTGGGTGGCACGAGTAGGACCCTGCACCCACCACACGCAAAATAGGCGCCTTGTCGTCGAGTTGCGGACACCAGCCCGTTACACCAAGTACCAAGTACCAAGTACATAAAGTTTTTTTTTATGAAATCAGTTTCGGTCATCAGTCAATCAAAAATCAATTTCAATCAATTCAGTTCAAAATTTTGTTTAGTGCTGATCGACTCAAGAGTTATGAAGGGATCATTTCATTGTATGGGACGAAAAAAACAGGGCAGCAGAAATTGATCAAATTCCATAAAATATTTTTCATACAAAATAAATAAAATTGACAATTTTAGTTGTAGTGACAATTAACGCTTGAAAAAAAAATTTACTATGCCAAAATTGTTTTCCCGAAAAAAGACGACTTTATGGTTCCTAAGATAGTTTAATTGTATGTTCTATGTTTTTGGATTTCCTCATGCAGTCCTGTTTTAAAACTCTGTATTTAAAAAAAATAAATTTACGATTACATAATGTTGTCCTTTTTTTGTCATAGTGATCGATATATGGAATCATTTCCTAAGTGGGTTTGTAATGATGATTTCTCTTGTCAGAGTATAAAGATTTTTTTTAATAAACACCTCATCTGTGTTGTCGATGTAGTGTAGTGTCTGAGTAAAATAATGTCGATGTAACATGTTGTCGGAGTAGCGTAGTGTCTGAGTAAAATAATGTTGAAGTAACATATTGTCGGAGTAACATAATGTCAGTAAAATCATGTTGATATAACATGTTGTCGGAGTCGCGTGTGTCAAAGTTCAGTTTTAGAGTCTATTAACATACATCATTTTTATCAATGCTAATTTTGTAAAATCAATATGAATTAAAGCCACAAAAAACTTTCATTTCCAATACGTAGAAATAGCAAAATCTAAAAACTTGGTAGCCTTTATTTATCAAAAATAGTTTAGATACACCTGCATAACCTAAAGGTAACTGACCTCTTTGAATGTCCAGACTTCATCCTGATAGAAAAAACAAGGCTTATCAGGGTGTTTCTCAACTGTGTAATGGAATATATCAGGCATAGTCCAGTTCTTCTTGGTATACCTCCGTGTCAACAATAATATTTTTATGTAGCATATAAGGGCACTGAAAATTAACTTTCATCTCAAAACCTGATTTACTAAGTCTAATAAAATAATACAATTTAATGATAATGAGTTTGAAATCTATGTTCTGTGGTTTCAAAGCAACATAAGTACATAAATGAAACTACAAGTTTTATAAAATGAGAAAATTAAATTACTTCATTGTTTTGTACAAAGTTAAAGAGTAAAGAATGAGGTTTCAAAAATAAGTACACATGTGTAAAAATTATGTGTAAATTTATTTTAAGGCAAATGTAACACGTAAGATGACACGCAAAACTTACTGTAAGTCCCTGGGAATAGTTTTGAAAGCTATAACGCACCACGACCAATGGAACACAAGAGCATAAACGACACTTAAAATTATAAAAAGTGTTACGGTGAAAAGAAAGCCGAAACAAAGATAGCTCGCAGCTATCACCGCAATCACAGCGGCTCCTAAACCCAACATAACGACTACTTTACGCCACGATACGCGGCGAACTGAGGCCCGACAATCCACTGCACTGTCTAAATCGCTCCTCAGTGTTTCAAAACAAGTCTTCCGCTCCTCCTGTTGATACCGCGAGAAGTCATAAAGTCATAGTAACTAGTATTCTTGTGACGTTTAAATATACGAAAAGTACAACTCAACAAAACCAACAATTTTTACGAAAGTCGTTTGACCAGTTTTTAAGAGGTTGACTTGAGAGCGTTTAATATTCTTGATCGCTTATTGCGTATTAATATGTCTACCATATCTATTAAAAAAAATTCTAGTCAAAACAAAACCCTTAAACAAAACATTTATTATAAATAACTTTGAAATTAGTTCGGTAATAAATACACAATGGAGTAGAACAAGGTAAAACGGCAATCCAAAACACATTATCTTGAAAAACTACTAAGATTTTTGAACATACTCCTTTGACAAACGTCTGTAATAGGTTGACAGATTTATTTCATTAGTCGGATACACGCCACTGCATTCTGCAGCGTTATTACTTAATAAGAATTTGTTGATTCGAGCTGACATGACATTTAAGAATAAATCACACTTTCTAGGATTTATGCGCAAGCAAACAAGGTTAAAAAATAGAGCAACCTTTATTCCAAAATATAAATATGCATCACTTTCATATTAATATCGAGTCAAAATACAATACAAAAACTGACCTTAATAAAACTAAAGCTTGCAAAAATTAAAAATAAGGACAAAATGTTGAATGAAAAGTTATAACCTAAGTTTTTCTACATCATCGAAACAATCATTGCATTGCAAAATTGTTCATATGTCTTTCCAATTTGTATAAAACACCGTTTTTCTCTTTTCTTTTCCTTAATGATATAAAAATCGTGTCTTGATATTTCATTGTTATTATTCTATAGAAGGGCTAGCACGACAGGGTGCGACTAGCGCGAGAGCGACGTAAAGCGCGAGATACTACAATTCTCGCATAAAGATCTCGCGCTCCGTCGTGCTAGGTCTACGACTCACAATTACCACAGCATTGCAATTGGCAGCTTGTTTATAACAAATAATAGAATTAATAAAAAAATTACATCACATTCTTATAGCGCCAGATATTATTTTTTCGTATTCCTTAATCTCTAATGGTACGTATTTATCTAATTTGGCATCTAAATAAAATAATTTATCTTTGACTACAGCTGGATTGTAACCCTCTTTTTGTAAGTCCACTTTCCTCATTTTGAAAGTACCTGAAATCAAAAACAAAACTTGAATGCGGAGAAACCCATAATTTAGGATAATTTTTAAAATCTTCGCTCAGAAATATGCTCTTGATACTACTAGACAAGATTTCTTAAGATTAAATTTATTTCATATTCATATTTATATTAAGTATAAACTTATTTTAGAAGTTTAAGTATAGTATGAAATGGTAAATTATGATTGCATAGTACATATTATGTTTGTGTTGTATTATATGTTTGTGTATACGTCACAGGTGAACACAGATCCAACTAATTTAGTAATTATAAAGTCTGTGTCTCAACACTGCTCGTTTGTAATATTTATTTATTATTATGTAATAAAATAATAAATAAATCGTTTGTTACATAAAAATAACACTTGGCTATAAATTCAGAGCCCGCCAAACTACAGAGCAGTTTATTGGCGGTAACACACTCATGTTTAGCATAGCAACATACCTACCTATCGCACCTTATCATTATTATACGTAATAATATCATACATATATATTTCATACAGCAGGTACACATTTAACGATATACTGAGATTTGTCAGAACAATTTCTATTTAATTTTCTTTTTAATTGTTAGTGTAGATAAATTATTTTCGCCAACATTCAGATCATTGTGTAGGTATAACAGGTATTTAGTAGTTTCTAATAAAAGTAATTGTTTCGGAACGATGTTGGGCTGAGAACAAGAGAAGACCTCCAAAAGAATCTATTATAGGA